GGTAAGGCGGGTGGGCCTAGATCTTCAGTAGGAGGATTGAATAACAGCCAGCAGTCTGAGTTTAATATGACACTAATTAGAGGGTCGGAGTAGTTCTATGCTACGTGTAATTTTCTATTACCAGGGGAGTTAGTGGCTACTCGGAACGATGCTGGCAAGTTGGCGTGGGAGAGGATGGATAGGGGCTCCTTGGGGACACCTCTCCTCACTTCGTCGTAGTCGTTACGTACCTCTTGTTTCTCTGTGCTCGGTGTGGTCTCGAGCTGTAGCGTATGCGTGAACTCATCGCCCTCTGACTCTTCGACGGGGGAGTTTCTTCTGCCACGGTAGTCCTCTGTGCTATTTTAATGCTATTTAAGATCGTTTAGCTGTTACTGTGGGGAATTATACTGCACATGGTCTGCACTGTTGGTGTTGAAGTGTGTTTACCTAATCTGGTAGCGGCTATCGGCAGGGCTCGATTTCAGCCCAGTGTTTAACACTGACACTCTAATGTCCATTTCAGTCTCACCGGGGTTTGTTCGTCCCTATTCTCGGAGAACAATCTTCAACAGGAGAGGACATAACCATTGCATTGATTGGGGAAGGTCGACTCGGAGTTTGCTGGGCTCATCAGGTGAGGGACTTTTGATTAAAGTCGGGCGTTACTATCGAGGTCTTTCAGGTTAGGATCGCGGACACGCAGGTCGCCTTGATGTGTTGTCTTCATATGCTTCTGTTGTGATCATTATCCACTTTTTACTTGTTCTTGGTGGCATCGGTAACTTTGATTGAAGTGGAGAGTAAGCCTTAGGCGCTTTAACTTCCTATCTCGCTCATCTCGTGTTGCCTTGGTCACTCTAACTTATCATCATGGCCATCTCCTGTTGCGTTTACTATGCTTGTTGGGTCGCGATTGCGGTAGGGTCAAAGGATTGTCGGTATCGTGAATGGCTCGTGCTGCTGATGTCGAGGAGCTCCTACAGCTGCTAACTGACAGTCCGGATGGTTTTACTAACGAAGATCTGGAAAAGAGTGGATGGGACAAGCAAAAGCTTCTGCAGTGTTTGAACCCTCTATTGCAGGTGTGGTGAAGGTTTACTGACCCGTGTTGGAGATGGGCTGTTGTCTTAGGCGGGTCGTGTTGATATCTCCAAGACGTCTGCTGGGAAGTTGCTCTATACGGCAGTGCCAGCGGAGATTGCACAGAAACTCAGAGGCTTGGACCAGACATTCCGGATGATATATAAGCTCATCAAAATGGCAGGGACACAAGGGATATGGAATAAGTAATAAGATGAGTCGTCGTGTATTCTCCGCTCACTGCGGTGGTATGCTTCAGGGACCTTGCCACTCGTGCTAATATGGAACATAGGATAGCTTCAGGCAGTGTGACTAAGATATGTTCACAATTAGAGGCACGGCGGTTGATCAAGAAGGTCACTTCTGTTCAACATAAATCTCGAAAGGTACGGCCAGGGGGGGGATGGTCACACGTGCTAGGCGCTATGTTCGATATGCGGTCATGGGAGGGTTCTTATTGTTGGTGTGCTGGCCATCATCGGTTGATATAAGAAAGTCGTTCAGGTGTGGATGTTGTACGAGTTGGAACCTAGCAAGGAGGTCAGCGGTGGTAACTGGTATCGAGATGGTCGTTTGGATACGGACTTGATAGAGCGACTCCGGCAGTGTTGCCTGGATTACATCACCAACCAGAATCGGTGAGAATAGCGTCCGTTGGTCTCGGGGGAGTTACCATTTCCTGCCTCAGGGCTGTGACTTGTGAAGATGTTCATCGATATGTTGTATCACAAGGAGTCTCACACATCACACACAGTGTCGAGGAGATTGGTGATGTGTTGCGCAGTCTGGAGCTCGATAGAGTAATCATGGTAGTCCCCTCTACGGCGGGCGAGTCCATTGCTAAGTAAGGCCCTTCACGGTAGTTGCTGTCTCAATCACTTGTGGATGGTTTCAGGCAATGTTACGTGTCCCGACCAGCCAATTTGGGTTTGGACTATATAACACGTATAGTAGATGTCCCCTGTATCGCTTGTCCTGTATCTTCCGAGTGCGTAGTTGGAGGCCGAGTGAATCCCGAAGAGTGCCTCTACCTCTCGAAGTGGCTCAATCTCAGCGGCCAGAGTAGTGAGACTACGGATATAGAGGGAGGTCCGAGCTCATCAGCCAATGAGAGTGGAGGCTCGAAAGGTACCATATGATATACTGCTATCAACGTCGTTTCTACTGTCATGCTCTTCTGTTGGGTTGTGACTGGCTTCGGTGGTAGCGAAGATACACTGGATCGTACAAGCTTTTCTTTGCCGGGAGGATGGTATTCTCTAGTAGCTGTGCTTTGTATTCCAAAGACGTATTCGTGGCGAAGTGTCTCCGCCGTTACTGGTCGGAACGACGGGCGCACGAACAGAGGAGTCCGGGAGCCTGTTGGCCGAGATTGTCGTGAGTGTATTGTTTGTGGTGTCTCATCGGTTGGACTATTGTCAACTCTCTGTCAGGCATTGAGGTACGTGGGGGAGGATCCCTCTCCCATTATTCCTTCTCCTGGAGGAGTACTCCGGTGAACCATGAGAGGGTGGTGAGGGCCGAGGCTGAGGTGCTTCCGGACGTAACTGCAAAGACCACTTGCGAGCTGACGGAGTGGAAGCTGCTGGAAGAGCCTTATGCGGAGATGATAGAGGAAACTGCCAAGGCGGGATCTAGAGTCATCTCGGGGATCGATGGCCTTTTTACGATGTGGCAGGCCAAGTTGGAAGGTCGCAAGAAGAGGGAGCGGGGACAGAGGCTGTGTAAGTACATCCGGATGGGGGGCATAGTGTTTGGGGAGGTTGAGCAAATCGGAGAGAATATGAGTTTTTCGCGAGAGAAAGACTAGAACGAGATGAATTGGCATGAGCATTTTACTGAAGGTGTTGAGTTCTCTCTATATAGTGAGCTCATGCACGGATGTCCGTTTTTGCAGTGCTTTGAATGTCACCGACTCCGAGCGAAAACAGCCGGTCGGAGGCCACTACGTTGCCCTCTGTACAAGCTCCAGTGGTCAGGACAGCTCCAGATGACTTCCCAAGTCTGTGTCGATCGACTGGGTCGGAGCAGCAGCCTGGGGAAGTTGAGCGGATTCAAAGACGCCTTGAAGAGGTGCGAGAGTATCGGCGAACTTCACGGTTCTTTCGTGGGTTCGCCGTATGTGAACAGTTCTCATTTTTTCACTGAGGATAGACATTATATTATAAGTATATTTGTTGTATGGATATAGAGATGTAAAATTACATCGATATTTCATGATTAAGCTCCAAAATCTACATACTCACACCTCGTGCTCGTACCTCATTCAGCTCTCGACGGTGGACACAGAGGGTTCACTCTTTGCAAGGAGCTGCCGAGAGCTGGCTGCTGACAACGATGATTTGGTATTGCGCATGGTGAAGTTGGGAGAGCTACTGCGATTGGAGGCCGGGTAAGTCCACGGGATCGTCGGAGTTCATGTCTGCTCTCTGATATCACGTACTAGTGTGATGTGCACTAAATAGGGGCTTTCGTGTGGACTGGTCGTATTCTTTCCTAAGACCGTATTAATAGCGTGCAATATGCGATTCTATGCTATGTATGTTCTCGACGATGGACAGATGGTCTATGTGTATGTCTTTACTGAGGACGGAAGTTAAGATCTCTCACGCTGCATGTCGTTCAGGGAAGAGCCTATCAACGACTCTATGGCGGCTTCAGCGTTGGCGAATTTCTGCTACGTCGCGTGCTACTCCTCAGAGCACTCCCGGACACAGTCACTGCCTCTATCGTTCGTATATTTGACAGCACTAAAGCTGATGAAAACGTAAGGAAGGAGGGGCTGGACCCGAGACTGGTTGTGATGCTGCTGTTAGATACACACCCGGCCTGTTGGGACCACCTTCCGCCGAAGGGGATGCCCTTCTAGTACTGTTCGAGAGTCTCATTAGATTTCACGATCCCATCTTGTGGTGGCATGTCACTCGAGGCGGGACTCAGTCTTGGACTCTGGGAGAAACACAAGATTGTCTCCGCAGCCTCTTCGCTGCTCCCCTGAGTCGTAGAGGGCATCCTGAAGTCTGCCAGACTCTCTGGTCGAGGCTCGCTCGAGAGTGGGATGTTGTCGATGCGGTTTTTGCTGCTCTCGCCTGGGTGCTGCAGCATTCTGATGAGCTCCGCAAGATTGGAGATGTTCGAGTGTGAGGGAAGGATCATTATCATTTCTCTTGAGAGGTTCTCACTCAGGAACGGTAGCGCTGTTTTATCCCTCGTCTCGACTGGGGAGGTGGACGATATCTTACAGCGTGCAGCTAGTTTGAAGGCATTCACACCCAAAAGTGTATTACGAGCTCTCCAGCACGCTATTTGTGGCCAAGGTGAGGACCGCGGATGGCTAATACATCGTCGATTGACTATCATCAGATTCAGACGGTACATCCCAGAAAGGCGCGCCCTGCCTACTAGTCGGCCCTGACGATGCCCTGGCTGCTAGTGATGGCTTCAACTCGGGACAGCTTTGTGTAAGTCGAAGTCACGGTGGTGATGTAGCTCGTATTCCCAAGTACTCGTTGACGTACGGTCCCCGTATACCAGACGCCTTCAGCCATCTTTGAAAGGGTCCATGGTCTTTGAACCAGAGTCCGCCAAGTCGGGCCAGATAGCCACTTTCGTCAATCGAG